AGACCCTAAGCCTAGTACTTCCAAACAGGGCTCTGAAATGATGAAGAAGGTGTCATCAGCTATGGCAAAGGCGTTTTCAAGGTCTAACGCCAATATTTCTAAGTCTTCCCCACCCCCACCCTCACCCTCACTTCCTCATGAAGACAGAAGCTGAAGCTGCTATAACTGACATAAATAAGGATGCTAACCTTCCTCTCAAAATAAATGGGTTTTTGAGCACGACACAGTGTCTATCCTACATGCAGATTCTCATGGATGCTGAACATAAGGAAAGTTTGATCAATGCTTTTGTTGAGCATTCTGGCATGGAAAGAAGGGCTGGGCCTCACACACAAATGCATCTCCTAGGCAGTATGGGTTTTAAGCTCTGCTCTTGAGGGCCCTGAAGCCTTATTGGGAAAATAAGACTGATAAGTAAAGGTGTGATACCAATAACATAGTGTGCTATGAAGTACTTCAGGGATCTAAGGGATCCCAAGGAGGGAGTCATTGCTGTGAGCTGGAGTGATCAAAAGTTTCCTAGGACTAGAATTCAGCCAAATCTCAAATGATGAATGGGTTTAAGTGGGCATGGAAAGTGCCAAAGAGGCTTGCACTATGAACCACACATCTCCTTCCAATTCTGCCATGCCTGAAGGTTACAACTGAGTGCTGTCCAAGAGAATGTTTGCTGATGAGGGGATTGGTTTACATATACAGAGTCTAGTATAGCAGTCACCAGACACATATGTGGCCATTGAATCACTAGTGTGATTAAGGAACTAGAATTTTTTCATTTTATCTTAATTTAAGTAACCATATGTGGCTGTTGGCTCTCTCATTGGATAGTGCAGTTCTAGTCAGTATGTGGCCTCATGGACACAAGCCAATTCAGGTGATGCTGAGGGGTTCCTTGAAAATTCATTTCCAAAGTCTTTCCCCAAACATCTAAGGCAGTGCAGCGATGTGACTCCTTAGAGGATCTCTGAAACCTTCAGTCATCCTCTTGACCTCTTTAAGACACATGCACCACCAATGTGGCTAGAAGCAAGTTCATGCTTTTCAGCCATACCTGTTCATCCATATTCGCCAAAACTCAATTTAATGGAGAAAGCATAGGCCCCATCTAGGCCTGACCAAACACAACCCTGCTGGCACCTTGATCTTGAAGGAAGGAATCAAAGAGCAAATCAGAACCTGTGTTCACTAGGGGGCCTTAAACACAGTGCTGGTCTAGAAACAGCTTCTCTAGACAGAAACATCACCTTGGTACTGAAACAACCATTCTGGCCTCCCTCGAGCCACTCAGTAAACAGGCAAATGGTCACTCATCTAGTTATTCTCTATCTTGGCTTTATCCAAAGGTAGGTTAGAGGAAGTTCCCAGACTTAAACAAAACTCCTCAGAGAAATACTTTTTGGCAAGTAAATTTCCTTCATGTGTACCTGCATTCCATGAATGTTAAGTGAACTGAATTTTAGTATCTAGAATGCCAGGCAATTCTGATGCCCACATATCTATACTCAAACTTGGCTATCTTCATCTGCTCACTCATTCCTGCCTGCCCTCACATACTAAATAAAATTCATCAAATGCAGCAGCATAAGTTTGAAGTCAGTTCTTAAAGGTCTACAATATAATAAACACTGATCTTACATATGTTTTTAATTCATTTTTATTAGTAACAAAAACTCGTACAGAAATCCAAAGTACAAAAGATACAGTGAAAAGCCTTTCCTCTCCTTCCCATCACCCAAATGCTACCCACTTCTCTTAAGAAATGAGTTCTGCTACTAATGAATAGCCTTCCCAAGATAGTCTGAGAAATAAAAAAGTATATTAACATCTATCTTTAAAAAGAAGTTCAAGTATCCTCCCTTCAGAAAAGCAGAAAACAGGGAGGGGAGGGAGGGAGGGGAAATGGAAGGAAAGACAAAGAACATCAATGTGTTCTTTGACAGCCATCATTTTCTGGTAACACTGCTTGGAGCTTGTTTCTATGCTCACAATCCCACCTTTGAATAAACAAAGTCAGCCAGCCCTCCTTTACAGAATGCTGTTGGGCTAATTAACCAATATCCAAAAGTGAGCACCAGAATAGGAGGAAAGGTGCCTAGCATATCTGTTCAAAGTCTGCTGGCTAAAATATATTAAAATCTATGAGCTAGGTGTGCCAAAGTCCTGCTAGTCTGATCCTTGTTCCCATCTGGGTATCAGTTTCCTTCAGCAGTGCAGGTTGCTGTGCTGGAGGCCAGCAGGAGGAGTCAACTTACTGAAATTTTGCAGGTCTGTTCTGAGCACCACCAAGGTTGGAAAAGTAGACAGAAGTAACTGCATTCAAAGAATAAGCAGGGGAAAAAAAGGAAGGATGGAGGCATAAGATGAAACCCTGAAAACCAAAAAATGAAAATGAACCAAAGCTTGAGGTAAAGCCAAAGCCTGAGGAAAAGTCAGATTGGGAGGAAAAAGCAGAAGAAACTTTTTGTGAATGGTTGATTCGACCTCTCCAGGAATTTAGAGAAGTTATACACAACAGGCACTTAGGCAATGAAAGTATGTTTAGGGAAGTGGATGAAATAGATAAGGAGAATAAGAAACAAACTTATAATGATGCACTGGTGAAGTTAATGAAAACCATCTTTACCCCTATTTAATATAGTTAACCTTGATTTCTATATTACCTGATTGCTACATAACATTTTTTATTAGCATTTTCCTGATATCTTTGTCCATCTTTCTACTTTTAACCTGTTGCTGTTAGTAGTGGTCTTAGATGTCTCTCCTGTTGTCTGTATCTATTGTATTTTGAACCAATCTACAAGTCTCTGCCTTTTAATAGAAGAGTTTTACTCATTTGTTTAAAAAGAAGAGGTTTCTGATAATATATAAAATGAAAAAGGTTATATTTTTGAAGAGTACATTTGTATATTACATATATGAACACAAAAACTGGTGAAGGATGACAGGCAAAAAGTATCATCTCAGTGGTAGGATTATGAATTTTTCCTGTTTATTTGAATTGTCCATATTCCTAAATGAATACACATTATCATTGCCAAAAATGATAAAGGTTTTTATAACTAAAAAAGCATCAAAATGTATGAGCTAGTATCTACAGTCCTTGGAGATGGAACCATTTAAAGAGCTAAAGCCTACACATAACAACGCAAACTGGGCCTCACCTGCAATGAAAGCAAATGCAAATTAGAATAACCTGAAGGTATCAAGATAACTTTCAGAGAAGATAAAAAGGAATAAAATGATAAAATTCAAGGTTGTCCAGAATGTAGGGAAAAATTGCATTTGAATTCTATAGTGCTGATAGTTCTACCAATTTAGCATTTCTGAAAAGCAAACTGACAATAAAGCAAGCTAGGGTTCTATCTGTACTTTTGGAGCTGGTAACTCTATTTTGGAGAATATGGTCCTGGGAAAATTCTAAAAGGAGGAAAAATTTTAAAAGGACTGCAAAAATTTCCAAAGTAGTACTATTATTAAAATGGAAAATTAAAATAATCCAAGTGGAAGACTGGTATGCTGTATTAGTAAGAAATGCTATATAGCCACTGAAAATGATATGGATAGTGACAACACAGAAATGTCCATACAAGTGAAAAAAAAAGATATGCACTCCAATAACAATCACAAAGTATTGTCATGCATTTGTCATTTAACAATCATGTTGTATACTATTAAAAATTCAAAGACCTCAGGGATTTAAGATGAAAGGGGGCCAATGCATTGAGGGACCAATGCATCCTGGATGACATTCTATGGGTCATACTTAATTTATTAAATGCCAAATTCTTATCACAAATGTAATTGCCGATTATTTTCTACTGAAAAAAATATATAACCTGTTCTTATCTATTTTATGATGCACTTTCCAGTAACACTTGTGGAAATCAGGAGCCACTTATTTAGTAAAGGAAGAACTCTAGGTTAAATCCTTCATAGTGCAAATAATCACACCCCAAATTACATCCTCAAAGTTTACATTTTCAGATCAAATAAAAGACACCAGGAAACATTTGGTCACAACAGCCCAGTGCAAAACACTTTACACTTCAGTAGAATACGATTTAGATGATGACCATGTCATTCCTTTCAAAGAGCTTCAAAACATGTTTACAGAAGGGACGGCCTGTTCCAGATAAAGATTATTTCCAATTTAAGAGTCAATGAGTCCATCAACTGCCAAAACAGGTACTTACTAACAGGTGCATGAACTAACAGGAAACAGAACAGAGACAGACAGACTCAGGCATTAATTAGGTCACATCATAAAATAAATATGCCAAGAACTAAAAGCATTTTTGTGAGCATTTCATTTAATGTGGCTGTTAAGCATTGAGGTCATTGGAAAATTGTCCACCAATGAACTTCCACTGTCCTCTGTAAAGGGAACCTGTGAAAGGAATGAGAACAATCACTGTTCCCAAAGGTTAACTAAAACAAATGGCTATTGGGCATGGTGGTTCACGCCTGTAATCCCAGCAGCTTGGGAGGCTGAGGCAGGAGGATCACAAGTTCAGGGCCAGCCTCAGATACTTAGCAAGGTTCTACGCAACTTAGTGAGACCCTGTCTCAAAAGAAAATATAAAAAATGTGGGGATGTGGCTTAGTGGTTGAGCAACCCAGGATTCAACCTCTGGTACCAAAACAATAAATAAATAAAAATAATGGCTAGTGGATTGTTTCAGGCTCAGCCTAGTGAAGGCTAAATCTGTGCCTCTAGAATCTGAATGCTGGGAGCATAACTGACAGCTGGCCACAGTGGCTGAGCTGCAGATGAAACCCAAATGGCTAAAATCTACCATCAATCACCACATCTTCACCAAGCCTAGACTTCCCATGGGCATGCCCCAGTAGGGCAGAATCACTAAAGCAAACGATTTCTTTAAGACCCTAAGACTGCCCTAACAGAAAACTTTTGAGCCAGAGCCCAACCTCGTACAAGATGGCAAGGAGTAAACCTATCATTTACCTCCCAAAAGCAAAAAGGAACCAATGAGACTTCGTGGTTTAGAACAAGAGTTTATTAAAATACAGTGAACGCTATGAACATCCACATAGCTTCTCCAACTCCCCTGCTCCCAAGTACCAGGGCAATGCAATAGGCTCAGATGAATGCAACATATGTGGGGGGTTGGATTACAGCTGAGGAATCTGGGGTCAAGGACTTGGGACTTTTTGTGTAATGAGTAAACAAACCAGTATCCCTCCCCTGGAAAGCAAGTTTAAATAGTACTCACACTGTGATCACCTTGTCATACTTAGTTGCCTACGTGACTGCAGCAATAGTTCAGTATTAGGAGATGGATAAGCTTGCAGTCTAAGCCAGCCAACAAGAACATGAAGGTGTGCTCAGGGTCTAGGTACACAGCTTCTCCCAACAGACACATTTCTTTGCCTGAAAAGGTCTTAGAACCACAGTTCAAGGCTCTTTCTATCACCCCTCCTAACTTCAATCTCATCCACAAGGGTTAGACCTGCATCCAGGCTCTTCCCAGCTTCCTCCCCATTTCCTTCGGTTTTCCTTAATCTCTTGTATGTCTAATCCCATCTTCACATCTGCTTCTCAGAGAGGCCAAACTAGCACAACTGGTGCCAGTGAAATAGGAAAACAGGCCATGGTAAGATGGGGTTCTGGACACTGTTGTGAGTGGGATATTGGGCACGAATAACCTATGACATAGGGTGGCAGTCCACTGCTAACAATTTCTATGGAGATGGCCTAGGGGAATGGCCTTTCAGGTGTGCTAGCACCTTGAAATATGGGATGGGAACACTTAACCAGACATCCCTGAGGGTACTGATCCTGCAACCACTATGTTCTCTAGTGCTATATCATATTATATAGCACTTCCCCTGCACCAGAAGAGGCTACAAACTAATTCCCAAAGCCTAGAACTAATGTACCCCTCAGAGGAGCTGAATGCAGCCTCTCCTGATTATTAAGTGGATGAGTAGGGTTTAATCCCAACATAGCCTGGCTGTGAAATACTGGGCTTATTAAGGAAGAGCATACATACCAGCGAGCTACTAGAATCAGCTGACACACACCAACAAGAAAGCACTAGGTTTGGATTTCAAGGATGCTATATCAAGAAGGCCAGAAAAGCAAGATTTCGGACTTGGAAGCACTTTCTCAGGATTCACGATTTAACCCCCTGGCAAAGACCACAGTGGGCAAGCAGCCTCTAGGTGGCTCCTGGAAGGCTGGTAAAAGTAATGGCCAATGCTGAAAAAAATAGAGGCCTTAGCTGCCTTGGAAAACAGCACAGAAAGAAAAAGTCAAAAGAAAAGGGTATACTGGAGTGAAGGGACTATGTGATCAAAAACCCCATCAGATGACAGTGCTCCACAGAGGGGTCAGAGAAAACAAGGGCCATCAGGAATGTACTGGTGACAGGGGCACCAGCATGCGTAAGGTCAGTGGTAGCCTCTGCTGCAAGTCAAAGAGGACAGAGGGAAACCCTCAGAGGTGGACTCTAACATCCAAGGGAATGAAGGGGCTCCAGAGGAATAGAGAGTAGGTAGATGCACTTAAGCACCAGACTCAGGGAGGCCACAAATACTGTAACTACAAGGTCTGATGGGTAGCCAGGAGTGCTTTATTTTCAGGCAGTCTGGAAATGGCTAAAGGAACATGGTATCCCCAAGAGCAATACCAACAGCCAAACAAAGGTGTTACTCAGTATCTAGAGGCTGAAAAAGAGTGGAAGAACAGGAGCCTGAGTACTTTTCCTCTAATAAAAATTTATAATTTCTTAATCAACTCCCAGACTTCTTCAGCCCAGTTCAGATCTGGAAAGAGGTATCTGGGTTCCTGGGGAGGACAATGGTATGCAATGACTTCCCTAAACTTCCCCAAAGGAACCTATAGCCACTTACTTGAATGTATGTACACTGGGGAAAGAATATTCCAACATTTTGATGAACAGTACACTGAGAACCTAAGTTGACTGATACCTAGAGACTGGAAGCATCATCACAGTGCCCATTAAACTGAGGATTTATTGAGGCCAAGTAACAACTAAGTTCTGAGTGACTCAAATAGGGCTCATAGTGAGCCTACTGATTTACTCAGTGGTCATTTCCTAGTCCCAAGTATATATAACTGGAATCGTCTTGGTAGTTGGAATAAGCCCCACAAGGGTTCCATTGCCTGTCGAGGAACAGCTGTCCCAATGAGGAAAGCCAAGTAGAAATGTCTAAAACTGAACGCCACGGTTGGACAAGATGGTAAATTGTGATGATTAGTTTGTGTTAATTTGTCTTAGGCTGGCTATAGCTCCCAGTTGTTCAAAACACTAAATCTAGGTGTTGCTGCGAAGATATTTTATAGATGTGGTTAATATCTACCATCAACTGATCTTAAGATTACCCCTGATGAGCTGAGTGGGTCTCATCTAATCAGCTGAAAGCCTTAACAGTAAAAACTGTTCCTGGTAAAATTCTGCCTAAGGACTACAATGTCAACTCTGACCTTATGAATTTCAGGCTTACCTAATCAAGCCCTCACAACTGTATGATTCAATTCTGTCACATGTTTTAAAACAACAAGGCAAAATGATTCAGTCAACTGCATAGGCCTTTGTCACTGGCTAACACAGACCAGGCACTATGGGCACATGAACAAAATAGACACAATGGCCGAGACAGAGGCAAATAGCAAGGACTACTATTTATCAGTCTGATCCTGCAGGACTTTTCTAAAAGGTGACTTTAGCTCAACAACCCACCATTGGTCTTGCTGGAACTTTCTTATACCTGCATTTCAAGAATTTTCCTAAACATCCTTCTTCCACTCTCTTCTTCAGACATCACACCTAACACCATAGTCTGACAGCTTTCCCACACTCCTCCAGATCCCTCTCTATTCTTCTTTATGGGAATTTCAATCCCACCACAATCTCCTGCACAGATAATCAAGGACCTACCCAAACTAACACACAGGATAATCTAAGTACATATTAAAGCTCTGATCCTCCCTTTTGCAGGGTCAGAAATTCAATTTCAACCACTTGTGTTTCTTGTTCTGTGAAGTGCCTACTCAGTTCTTTGCCCATTTATTAACTGAGTTATTATTTTTTTTTTGGTGTTATGTTGTTTGAGTTCTTTGCATACCATGGAGATTAATGCTCCATCTGACGTACAGGTAGCAAAGATTTTTTTCCTATTCTGTAGGCTCTCTGTTCACATTCTTAATTGTTTCCTATGAAAAAATGTTCAACATCTCTAGCAATTACAGAAACGCAAATCAAAACTACAGTGAGATTCCATCTTACCCCAGTCAGAACAGCAATTATGAAGAACACAAGTAACAATTAATGTTGATGAGGATATGGGAGAAAAGGCACACTCGTACATTGCTGATGGGACTGAAAATTGGTGCAACCACTCTGGAAAGCAGTATGGAGATTCCTCAGAAAACTTGGAATGGAACCACCATTGGATCCAGCTATCACACTCCTCAGTTTATACACAAAGGACTTAGTATCAGTATACTATAGTGACGCAGCCACATCAATGTTTACAGCAGCTCCATTTACAATAGCTAAACTACGTAACCAACCTAGATGCCCCTCAACAGATGAATGGATAAATAAAATGTGGCATATATACACAATGGAATATTACTCAGCCTTAAAGAAGAATGAAATTATGGCATTTGGCAGTAAACGGATGGAACTGGAGCATATCATGCTAAGTGAAATAAGCCAATCCCAGAAAACCAGAGTCCGAATGTTCTCTCTGATATGTAGATATTAACCCACAACAAGGGAGGGTAGGGAGCAGAAGAACAGAAGTTCATTGTATTAGATAAAGGGGAATGAAGGAAAGGGAAGGGGTAAGGGAATAGGAAAGACAGAATGAATCAGACATAACTTTCCTTTGCTCATAAATGAATACATGACCACTCTAACTCCACATTATGTACAATCATAAGAATGGGATCCTAATTAGAATGGGTTGTACTCCATGTATGTACACTATGTCAAAATACACTCTGCTGTCATGTATATATCTAAAAACAAGAATTTTTTAAAAAAGAAAAGAAAGAGGTTGAAAATGAGCTCAGGATTTCAAAGAAGAGAAATTCAATTTTAACAATGGAGCACAAGCATTAAAGATCCTGTGAACCTGTTCCTCCCAAGGAACTGATAAGGACTGATAAGAAAACTAAGACTAACAATGAGAAGGAACTGCTAAGACCACCAGGACTGACAAGTGTTCCCACTGCAGCAAGAACTGCTACTTGAAAACTGAAGTAGGCCCAGAAGGAAGCCTTATATAACTGGAACACAAAAAGGGAACTGACTAGCCAAAAGGTACAAACAACTCAAAAATCCATCCATAAACAAAATGTGATATATCTATACAATGGGATATTATGCAGCCATAAAAAAGGAATGAAGTGTGAGCCAGGCATGGTGGTACATACCTGCAATCCCAGGAACCTGGGAGGCTGAGGTGAGAGAATCACTTAAGCCCATGAATTAAGAGATCAGCCTAGACAACACAGGAAGATCCCATCTCGAAAAAAAAAAATATGAAGTACTGACACATGCTATGATATGGCCAAACCTTGAAAACATTATACTACGTTAAAGAAGCCAGACAAAACACCACTGTTACATGGTTTCACTTTAAATAGCCAGAAGAGGTAAATTTATAGAAACAGAAAGCAGACTTATGGTTGCCAAGGACTGGGAAAGGGAGGAAATGAAGAGTTATTGCTTAAGGGTAAAAGGTTTCATTTGGGGGTAATAAAAATGTTTTGGAACTAGACAGAGCTGGCAATTGTACAACACTGTGAATGTACCAAATGCCACTGAATTGTTTAAAATAGTTCATTTTTCATGTTATGTGAATTTCATCTTAATACAAATAAATAAATAAATAAATGGTAAGGAAAAAGATGCAGAGATATATCAACCACAAAAATAAAAATTAAAAAAAGGTATTTAAAAACTGGTTTTCAAGGGAAAGCTGGGGAGGGAACTGGCTAATTTTAGGAATCCTACCAATCCCTATAAAGCCACAACAATAAATGTTGGTGAGGATGTAGGGGAAAAGGCACACTCATACATTGCTGGTAGACCAGCAAATTGGCACAACCACACTGGAAAGCAGTATGGAGATAGCTCAAAAAATGTGGAATGGAACCACCATTTGACCCAGCTATCCCACCCCTAGGTTTATACCCACAGGACTTAAAATCAGCATATTAGAGTGACACAGCCACATCAATGTTTATAGCAGTCAATTCACAATAGCTAAATAGTTATATATAGTTTTATATAATTCCATGTGCCACTGAGGTGGTCCTATATTCCCGGGCTCTAAATACCACCTACCGCAAACAATACATTTATAGAATTATCTGGTATTCTCCCTTTCTGGCAATTTCACCTCAAATTGGGGTCTATAGGTTAATATTTATGAACTAAAATTCAGGGCACATACTCTGATGAAGTACCAAGTATATTCCCAGGGACAATGGACAGTACCAAAAAATTTGGGATAACTGGCTGTTGAAATTACAACTTTCTTAACGAATCTACTATGAAGGGATTAAAAGAACTGTCACAGAGATTTTATATATGGAAATATTAACAGCAGAACTGAATCTGATTACGTTTTTTAAAAACAATTCATTTTTCAATTAACCAGGCAGTTGGAACAGGCTTCAGTATCGCCTATGCTCACTGGGATTGGAAGTCTCCCACTCCCGGGAGTGCTGGGCCTTTTTATGTCTACGGGATTTATCTTGACTACTACTTCTACTTCTGTGACTCCGCCTTCCAGAATGCCCATGGCTCCTACTTCTACTCTTTTGACTCCGCCTTCCAGAATGCCCATGGCTCCTACTTCTACTCCTGTGACTCCACCTTTCAGGATACACTCGGCTCCTACTTCTACTCCTGTGACTCCACCTTTCAGGATACACATGGCTCCTACTTCTACTCCTGTGATGCCACCTTTCAGAATGCCCTTGGCTCCTACTTCTACTTCTGTGATGCCACCTTTCAGAACGTCCATGGCTCCTACTTCTACTTCTGTGACTCCACCCTTCAGAATGCCCACTGTGACGGCTAGAATGTGTGTCTGAGCTTCGCCCTCTATCCCTATTCCTATTCTTGTCTTCTCTTGCCTCCTTCTTGCTTGAGGGCTTGTGCTCATACTTGGGTTTCTCCTTCTTGAGCTCCCTCTCTGGGCCCTCTGCTCTAACATGGCAGGAAGTCTTGACATCAGGGGAGCGTGGGTAGTGCTTCTGTCCCTCTCTGGATTCAGACTTCTGAACCTTCTCTGAGTTCTTACTGCTGTGTTTCTTAGGGGCAGGGTCATCCTTTTCTTTTATTGTCTTGCTTCCGAGAGATGAAGAAGATGGCTGCTCTGCTTTTACCTCCCTGTCAGTCTTCTCTTTGTCTTTCTTTCTTTTCTTTTTTTCCTTTTTCTCTGGAGGAAAAAGGAAGGCAATCAGTAAGAAAAGAGAAAAATATAAACTCCCCTAAAAAAGTGCATTTGTTCTGAGTACATCACATCAAACCAAGTTGTTATAGTTAAAATCTTCACATACTAACAGATAGAACATGTGCATCAGGAAAACATTCATAACAGCAGGATGAAGCAGTCACAGGCTATGCTTTCAGTGCCCCTAAGAAGTAATTTTGGACATATGTGGCCACTGACAGGTCAACTTCCTATACAAGGCAATCCTCACTCTGAATTCTCTTTCAAGACCATGTCTCCAAATACAGTCACATTTTGAGGTACTGGTGGTTAAGAACTCAACATATCAATTTGGGGGGGACACAATTCTTTCCATACCACTATTCTTCTACTGATACCTCCCCTTTCCCAGTAAAAATAAGAAACCCCACATCTTCCTCTTCACACTTAAGAGTTGATTATTGACTATCCATGAATGCTAGGGAGATCAGACACTAAGACTACCTAGAATCTTCTTTTGGGTTTCAATGCTTCACCTTTTTTGTGCTTTGTGGGTTTGTCATCTTCTAAACTCTCAGATGAACTCGATGAGGGGGTGTTAGCCCCACAGCCCTTCTCCTGGAGTTCTTTGGTCACATCATCTGCTTCTTCTGAGTCCTTAGGAGCCCGATAGTTAGACACATGATCCACACGAATAGTTCTTCCTTTTATCTAAGCAAGAAAGGCAATGCTTCAGCAAAGACAGCCCTCATATCAAACAATCTATTTGAGCCCGAGCCATGAAGAACAATGGTTTGAATTATATCATTACCTTTTTGCTACTTTTGTTTCTGGGGAAACCACTAAAGCAGAACTGCTCAACTGGTATGTCACAGCACATGTATTAGATATTAATACACTCAATGATCTCAGAAGCTAGGTAGGGTGTGTTGCAGCAGGGGCGGGGGCAGTTGCACCAGCAGCGTCACTGGCTTACCACAGGGTGCCATACAAATATCTTCATGCAAACAATACATTTATAGAATTATAATGTATAATTATAATTATGTGTACCATGAAGTGAAAAAACCCTGGGAAGTACTGCCCTAAAGCACAAGTGTTGGGGAAGACTATGAGAATTTAGAAACACAATGAATTACCCCCAACTTATAACAGTCTATAGTGAAACATAAACTAGACAAGCATTGCAGCTAGATGGAATTCCTGAAATCTAGCTTAATGCTATAGCTGCTTTCTTAACACAGTAGGTAGAAGGCAAAGTGAGATCAACTGTTGGGGGTGGGGGCAGGAAATTGACCAAAAAAAGATTACTTTCTTTTTTCTTTAAGCCCTCACACCTTGTTTTACCCATACCATACTGGAACACAGCTCACAATTGGGCCAAGGACCACGACTCCAGGCAAAGAATGACAAAATTAATCCTTCATGTAAAATCCTATTTTCAAGCAGATACATATTTTTTCCACAGGCAAAGACAACTGAAATTTGAAGTTTGGCTCTTACTGTTCCAACACAAGAGAGATTTTCATATCTTTTAAGCCTGAGAAGCTTCTATTATCTATCAGATTCCCATTTTGAAACATTTTTGAAAACTTTCCTGACACAGTGACTCCCTATGATTCCTGGCTCTCTTAAAATTTCATACTGACTGACTTTTATACAATTTGTTATGAGATTAAAAGGAGATTTCCCCCCCCAGGGCCCAATATGCTAGGTCAGTAGTGTCACATGACAGACATGCACACCTATATCCTAGGCCATGAAGCCCTGATAGAGCTCCAAGTCCCTCAGCACAGGACAATATGGAAGAGCAGCATTACCTTGTCTCTTCATTCTCTAGTACACTAGAGATGAAGGTGGAGGACAAGAAGGGAAAGGTGAAAAATAGAAGCCTGAGTGTGGGGGTGTGTAACATCCATGGTTTGGCTTGTTAACGGAAAAAAAGAACAAGTCCTGGCAGAACCATGAGCCAACAGAATATTTCCTAGAATCACTTCCTAGCTGGTAGCTCTACAGCCCTCCTAACACACCCAACCAATCAGTACATCCCTGAACCTGTGGGGATCAGATGGAGAATGAAATCCAACCCCTACACCCAGGAAAAGTTCAGCCAAATCTTGCTTAATAAGCACACTTAGGGGCTGGGGTTGTGGCTAAGCAATAGAGAACTTGCCTAATACATGCAAGGCACTGGGTTCAATCCTCAGCACTACATAAAAATAAATAAATAAATGAAGGTATTGTGTCCAACTACAACTAAAAAACAATAAATAAATAAAATGCTTACCTTGATCCCATTAAAATTGTCAACAGCCAGAACTGTGCTCCTTTGGTCTTCATAGCAGAGGAAACAAAACCCTTTGGATTTCCCAGTCTTCTTGTCTCGCACAAGATTAATGTTAACAATCTCCCCATATCTGTTTATTTTACAAAAGAATAAGACACTATTGATTTAAAATGCAAAACTTTGATTGAATCACAAAACAATAGTCAAATAATATGGACAGTATAGGAGATATATTTAGAAAAAGATGACTTAAAAAGGTTGAAAATAAAATGTTAAACAAGGATACAGAAAGATTATCCAATTGAAAACATGGGTGGAAATATTAAGAGTAAAGACATGGAGCTGGGGTTGTGGCTCAGCAGTACAGCACTCGCTAGCACGTGCGAGGCCCTGAGTTTGATCCTCAGCACTACATAAAAATAAAAACTAAATAAATAAAAAAAGGTATTGTGTTCAACTATAACTAAAAAATAAATATTAAAAAAAGAGTGAAGACATGAAATTCAAGGTCAAAATTAAGCGGGACTTAAGAGGGTTATTTTATATTTTAAAAGGTCCTAATATATAGGTATAGCTAATGAAATTATGCCACAATTAAGAAATTAAAATTTTAATTAAAAATCGTTTGAGCCTCAAATGCACAGAGCCTTGGGTTCGATCCCCAGGACCAAAAAAAAAAAAAAGTTAGAAATACAAAGAAAGTTAGGGGAGATTTAAAAACTTTTTCAAGTTTATAACAAGTGACAGAAATAAATAAGACCAAAGAAATTAACATGAATTTATACGATACAAATGCAAATAAAACATGACAATAAATCTAACAAATACTTCCAGAGTAGTAGACACAGATATATTTGAATCCTATAAAGAGATTACAATTTCTTTTATAGCATTCATGAAATATATAATAAAACTAGCTGTAGATCAGGTACCAAAGTAAATCTCAATAAACTCCAAAAACCAGAATAGACTATATTCTCCAAAGATAATGTTATAAAGCTGGAAATAATATTAAAAAAAAAAAAACAGTCTACTAACTAGAACTTGAAACATACTCTCCCAGCTAACAACTAGATAAAACAAAGATAAAATAAAGAAAAGTGATCAGTGATAGACTATTTAGAAAAGAACAAAAATAGAAAAATATGTACTAAAATTTATGGGATGTGACTAAGGCCATACTTGGGAAAATTTGTAACCTTAAAATTCCAGATAAGTTAAACTTTTATAAATTAAAAAATAAAATCACAGAAATAGCTGAGGGAATAGATATGTGCTTGTGTGTATGTATGCATGCTTGAGATTTGGGCATTCTGCTGTGTATAAATTTTTCTTTACTGGAAATGAAATAATAATGTGTTCAGGAAAAAAATTAAAAGTAAAATCATAAAATATAATAGGAATTGATGGAAGCATTACATGAACACATCTAGACATCTCAGTCCAAAATCTAGTACCTTTTTTAAGGAAAACACCAGAGGTGATTCAGTTAAAGCTGAGAGCTATCTAGCAGTACAGGTCAATGCAAATAGATAAAACCAATACAAGAACTGGAAAAACAAAAACAAAACTATCTCTGTTTGCAGATTACATATGATAGTATATATAGGAAATCAAACAATCAATAATGAACTACGAGGGGCTAAGGTTGTGACTCAGCGGTAGAGTGCTCACCTAGCACATGTGAGGTGCTGGGTTCAATCCTCAACACCACATAAAAATAAATAAATAAATAATAAAGGTAATGTGTTCAACTACAACTAAAAAAATTTCAAAAAATAAACAATGAGAAAAACAGTATAACAATTCAGTAAAGTAAGAGGATACAGCTGAAAGTCAATCATTCTCTTATATGAAACAATAATCAGAAGATATAATGGCAGGGAAATACCATTTATAATAGCAACAAAAAAATACTTAGAAATATACTTAACAACAACCAACGTACAAAACATATATAAAGTTTTTTTTAAAAAACTCCCAAAAAACACAAACATATTTTGAACAAATATAAGGACATCCCTTGTTCTTGGACAGGATGAGTTGATAATCAAAATCTTCCCCCAACTTAATATATAAATTAAGTGTAATAACATAAAAACAAAAGTTTGCCACCCTGGTGGCGGGGTCTGGATAAGTCTATTCTAAAGTTCTTCTGGGGAAAAAATGAACATGTAAGAATGGCTAGGAAAACCTAAAAAAAAAGAATGAGTCATGAGCATGAGTAACTCTACAAAGCATACTGAAAAACTTGTGAATAACTAGTGTGGCTCTGACCAATGGAAAGGCAGACAAACCAACAGAACAGAATGTAGAGCCACACCAAGTGTATATGAAAAAAATTGTCTATAATGGTGGCATCCGATTTTCTGGGGAAAATATGGATATATTAGTAATGAGGTAAGTACAACTGGATATCCATTTTAAAAAGTATAAAACTGGATCCAGATCTAGACTACAGCTCGGTAATAGAGTGCTTGCCTAGCATGCATGAGGTTCTGGTTCCATCCCCAGAGACACATGCACATACACACACAACACACACACACACATACACAAATCCACTGGATCCAAACTTCACATTGTACAACAAAATAAACTCTAAGTGGATTAGAGATATAAATGTAAAAAACCGAAACCATAAAATAACAAGACAGTAATAACACAGATGGGTGAGTGGAGAGAAATACTTTCTAATTATGACTCAAAATCCAGAAGCAATAAAAAACAGACTGATGAATTTGACCACAGAAAAATAAAATACTAACGGGTAAGCACAATGGAGTTTTGGGAGTGATGAAACTGTTCTAATTGTGGGGATGTTTATACAAATCTATACATGTATTAAAACTCATACAGCTACATATTTCTCAAAAATCAATTTTACCATATGCTAATTTAAACATATTAATGAATGAATGTATAAAATAACTTTGCCCAGCAAAGAAATACCCATTAAGTAAAGTCAAAAAACAAATGAAAAACTAGGTGAAAATATTTATAATGTATATCACAAGTAAAGGACAGAAAGCAATTTTTCTTTTCTCTAAAAAGAAATTATCAGAACAGGGAAGAACTCAGTGGTAGAGTGCTTGCCGAGCATGTGTGAGGCCCTGCGTTCAATCTCCAGTACAAAAAAAAAAAAAAAAAAAGGAAAGACATTATCAGAACAACTAGTGAAGCTGAATAAAGTCTATAGATTAGGTGATGATATTATATTAGTACTGATTTCCTGAATTTCATGACTATACTAAGTTTACACAAAAGAATGTCCTTGTTTAGGGGAAGGACATTGAGGATTTTAGGGACAGATGCATCGTATCTGCAACTGACTTAAATGCTTCATAAAAAAAATAATATCTACATATGAGAAAAAATAATGATAAAGCTAATGTGGATAAAGTGCTAAGACCTTGGGAATCTGGGTGAAGGAAATATAAGTATTCTGTACTCTATTTTACAATTTTTTATTTTAAGCCTAAAATTATTTCAAAATTTAAAAAGAAAGATAAGAGCTGGCTTGACAGGAATCCTACTGACTCAAATTGGGACAATTTGTGCATCAGGAAAGAATAAAGATAGTAACACAACATCAAATATTTTAAAAATTAAATCCACAGTGATCCATGACAAGTATTATAACAAAAGGCTAATATCCTTAATGCATAAAGACTCTCATAAAATCAACAAGAGAAGGAGAAACACAAGAAAAAAGACCCAATAAGTGATATGAGTAAACAATTTACAAAGAAATAATAATGGGCTGCCGGGCAAGGTGGTACAACCTGTAATCCCAGCAGCTCAGGAGGCTGAAGCAGGAGGATCACAAGTTCAAAGCCAGCCTCAGCAACTTAGCAAGGCCCTATCTGCAAACTTTTAAAAAACGACTGGGGATGTGGCTCAGTGGTTAAACACCCCTGCATTCAATTTCTTTTACCAAAAAATAAAAATAAAAGAAAGAAAGAAATAATAATGGGCTGAAAATATGTTTAACCTCATTGATGATGAAATAAAGGCAAAGTAAAATGATAATGAGAAACCATTTGGCAATTTTTTTTTGCATAACCATCATTGCTTAGGATTCAGAAAAATGGGCTGTCTAGTGAAAATTGGTATCAGAGTGGAAATTGGTACAACCTTTTCAGAACAATTTGCAATGTTTATAAAGCATCTTAAAAATACTAGCATATTGATTCACACCCCTCCTTCACTAAGGAAACCATCAGGGATGCATACAAAGATTTATACACTACATTGTATATTGCAATATAAATTTATAATAGCAAACAATTGGAAATAATGTCCAACATTAATTAAAACAAGATGATAAAGAAACAGTCCAAATTTTAAGTTTTTCCTTTTAAAGTGCATTCTGTTGAAATAAGCCAGTCTCCAAAAAACCAAAGATTGAATGTTCTCTCTGATATGTGGATGCTAACCCATAACAAGGGATGGTGGGAAGGGGAAGAATAGAAGTCCACTGGATTAGACAAAGGGGAATGAAAGGAAGAGAGGGGAGAGGAATTATTCAGACATAATTTTCCTATCCTTGTATATGAATACACAACCAGGGTAACTCCACATCATGTGCAACCACAAGAATAGGATCCTAATTGGAATAAGCTATACTCCATGCATGTATAATATGCCAAAATACACCTTACTGTTATGTATATCTAAAAAGAACAAATAATAAAAAAAGTGCATTGTACATTCTTCTTTATACTTTTTTCCCATAATGCTCTTTTTTGTTTTGATTTATTTGTGGTGCTGGGAATGAAAGCTGGAGCCTTTCACTTGCAAGTCCTTGTTACCAGTGGCAAAGGCAATCTTCATTTTGTGTGGCCAGAATACAGAATTATATTATAATACACTACACACGCGTGTGCACGTGCACGCACACACACATGCACATACACACACACAATAGCTCATCACTACTCAATGCAAGCAACACTGAACCAGCTCTAAGATGGGAGGCTGGATCCAGTAAAGTACCACAAAAGTGTGGAAATTAAAGGCTACACCTGCTATGAACTTTCCAGCACTCAGAAGTTGAATGAAATAGCCTGGGTGTACCACCCAGACTCTCTACTATGGCTGCCTTCTCATTTGTATTGCCCAATTCCTTTTCCCTGGCCTGTTTCCCCATAAACTGCCCAACCACTCAACCAGGGCCCTACAGATAATCCAACTATCCTGCTATGGCAAGCCTTCTGCCAGGATATGCTGCCTGTGTTTGCTTGCCCCATCCTTTCTACCTTTACTAGATATCCAACTTCTCTGAAAACAGTTCTCTGCCTCTGAAAGCTACAAAACCCAAAGGCATGTATCAACTATTGCACTATACTCCACAAATATGTACAATTACTGGATGCTAATTAAAAAATAAATGCTGGTTTAAAAATCTTTTTTAAAAAGGCAGTGACCCTCTGCTCTTAAGAGTTGCAAAGGCCCTCTAACCCTGTGGACTGCCCAGCCTCTGTTTAACTCTCGGTTGTGTGTCAATTGCCCAGCCAGCCTCCCTACCAGGTGGCACTATCATTATGAGCTGCCAACATCCTCTCCTACCAAGAACAGATCTCTTAGTTTGTTCCTCATCAGCCTGTGACTTTCAGCCCCTGGGTAAAAAAAGAATGGCTCTGTTCACTAATTTCACATGCATCTAGAAATGAAGAAAGCAAACTACCACATAAACTTTCTGGGTTCTGTCCCCCATTTCCTCTGTGCTTTGCCCTAATCCTTCAATAGCACACAGGTAAGGGCCCAGAGGGCCCTGTGATCATGGGATACTAGTTTTCAGAATCCAAAGGAGGTAGCCAACCTAATATCTTCCCAGGAGTTCCACACTATATTTGGGTAAAACCTGGCTGACAAGGGTCAGTGAAAAAGTAACAGAAACAGACCAGAATCCCTAAGACAGTCTCCCAAATTATCCAACTTGTGAGATCTTCCACATGAGAATATACTTAAAACCGTATCCTGGGACAGATCAAGAGTAGAGCAGAAGCTGCAGTCTTCCCCAAGCAGGGATGTCATTGAGCCTAGAATTAAAATGTGGCTTTCTAATGCCACGAATTGCACTGCAGAATCAAACTACTGTCAACACAGGAGGCAGGAAATGAAAGAGGACTTACTGTGAGAACACACAGATGATGTCTCCTTCAGTCAGTTCATAAGGAAGCCCTCCTAGAAAAGAAAAACACATTACAGTTCAACAAACACTAACCAAGTATTTACTGTGTATTATGCACTAGGCCAGGCACCAGAGGTACAAAACATAAGCTATACACCTTCCCCTCACAGCAAAACAGTCTGATGGAATGACACAAATATATACAAGGTGCCAAATGTACAGAAAAAAAAAGTGATTGAGTGGAAAGGCTCAGGTCACTGCAGACCAAACTAATCTCATCATTCTTTCCTCCTCACATCCAAAGTCCTACAAAGCTGATATCTCCATCACAAAACTTTGCTTCCACAAATATCAGCTTAAGTGTGTCATTACCAACCCACCTATACATATAATAAGGATCATAAAGATAACTGTTAAGCATTTCACAGGAAATCATTTCCCCTCCAAATGTTTTACTCATCTGTAAAATGAGAAGTATACTTGCCTCATGAGATCACTGTTACAAGAATTAAATAAAACAATGCATATAAAGTGCTTAGCACAATGTCTGATGCAATAACCTCTCATAACACTAAAACTGCAGAATTACTGATTAAAGGCTACACCTTCTGTGCACTTTCCAGCACTCAGAAGTTGAACGAAATAGCCTGGGTGTACCACCCAAACTCTCTACCATGGCTGCCTTCTCATTTGCATTGCCCAATTCCTTTTCCGTTAACTTTTCTGTACCTCAGTTTCCTCAACTGTCTAGTGGGTGGGTGTGAGGAACATAACTGTTTCTGAGAAACCAAGTGGCAGGACTTAGCACTGTGAAGGGCAAGTGGTAACTCACAGGAACACTGACTGGCAGGGAAAGCACACTAAAATGAGTGAGAAAAGATGGAAAACGGATTCACAGACAGGCAGAACATAAGAGTGGGTGATGAGGGGCTGGGGCTCAGTGGTAAAGTGCTCGCCTAGCACACGTGAGGCCCTGGGTTCGATCTTCAGCACCACATAATAATAAATAAATAAAATAAAGGTATTGTGTCCAACTACAACTAAAAAATAAATATAAAAAATAAAGGTATTGTGTCCAACTACAACTAAAAAATATATATATATTTTTTTTTTTTTTACAAAGAGTGGGTGATGAGTGTGAGGAGAAACATTGGGCGGGACTGCTGAAAAGATCAGAAGCCGGCCAGGAGAGACTCCCAGAAAAATGTGAAGCTCACCCAGAAAGATCCAGGCGCTGTCTTTGTACTCGGAGTGCCAGGACACCTTATCCGCCACCCCAAGCTGGACCTCTCGCTCGTTCAGCTCGTTGATCAGCTTCACTTTAGTTAAAGGACTACACGGAGGGCGGAAAAGGAAAGTAAGTTTGGTCCGGCCTGAATTCACAGAGAGCAAAACTAGGCGACTAGAAGCTCTAGTCTCCTCTGAAACTCTCCTGCCCCTCGGCCCTGCAGCCACTCACTCTACCGTCCCAGCCCCGGTGGGCCACCCCCGGCAACCCACTCCCTCTTTCTGAGAGGAAAGCTGAAACCTTACTTCATCTTCACAAATTCGCGCTCGACACCAGCGGATTAACTTCCGGGCAAAGCTACACTCTGTAGCGCATGCGCATCTCTAGCGCATGCGCCTATCTAGGACTTGGCTCCTGCGCCGCTCTAGAGCAAGTACAGTGCCCCCCCCACCCCCCGGGCGGCGCGTTCGAGTTTGCGGAACTGGCGCCGGAAGAGTTCAGCAGAGGCGGCCGAAAACCGCGGCGCCTGTGCAGTAACGCGAAAGCGGCTCTCCACGCTTGGTGGCGTTCGTTCCTCTCGAGAGATTTTTTCTAGTTCATCGCAGCTTCCCTCTTTGATGCGAAGCTAGGGTTTACAAGCTTGGTCCGTTACAGGACCCTCCAGCTCTTACACAGTTCCAGGCACTGATTGATTTAGTACTAAATTTTTGCTGAATGAAGGTTGAACAAGGTACTTGATGCGGCTTTATTCCTGGTCTAAAGCTCCACTTGGGTCTTCAATCCCAGTCAGTTGCTCAAATAAAGTTCCATCAAAGCATTCATTTTCCGGAGTTAGGGCAAAAAAGTGAAGAAGATAAGTGGGAGAATCAAGTTTTTGTTATCCCTCAAATCCTAATATGTAGGTAACCTACAGTGTGCCTCCATAGTCTGAATTCAACACCCACAGGTTGTTGTCAGAGCTCCAACGCTTACATTTTACCATAATCTTTCTCTTAGTGGAACAGGAGGTAGAAATTAATATTGTGAATAGCTCCCAATTGGGCAGACAACCAGCTAAAAGATACCAGATGAGCTAAGCAATTTACATATAGTTTCTCCAACCTTACAACCCCATGAAGTAGATGCAATCACTATCCCCATTTTATAGAGAAAGAAATTGAGGTTCAAATGACTAGCTTGAAAGGTACTTTGTACCCATGAAGCCAGATTTAAAGATAGGTAGTTAGTATAGTTAGGTAAATCGGGTCTAATATCAAGTATGTTTAAAAAATGGAGACCATTATCGAGAATAGAGTCCAGGAAAGCTGAGCAGCACTTGGGGAAATTGAAATGTTACTGTCCCCAAGGCCCAGAGCCCATCCTAAGAAACTGTTAATGAATGAGCTTCCAGCAAACAGGGAAGTGTTAATCAAACTAACCCAGGCCCTTTCTGCCCATGAAATAGTCCACCTATCTCCCACCTTTTGGACTTCCCACCTGCATTCTATCACTGCAGGATAAAGGGAAACAAAAGACATGAATGTGGAAAGACTAAAAGAAGACATTAGCTATAAAAAAGGGAAGACTTCCCCCTTCCATGGATTCTGTCTTTCAGGTCCGGGGAGAAGCCTTTTCTGCTGTCCTTTAATAAAGCCTTCCACTTTCCTCTCTACATTTGCTTCAGCTTGCTTCTCTGGTGTTATACTTCAGCATTGGGAGAAGCAAGGACTCCTCACTGGTATACAGTGGTAACACCCATCAGACCACATCCATTTGATCAGTCCTTACTGAGTATCTATATATATCTTCTTCACTTTTTTGCCCTAACTCTGTCCTCTTCAGCTAAGTTCTGTAGAAAGAACTATAAGAGTGGGTACTCTGCATTTAAAGAGCTAATGATATGAGGGGTAAATATATATTTCTGCTTTATGTATTTCACCCCAGAAATATCCAGGAATCAGTAAAAGAAATGGTGACATATAATGTGTGATTTAAACCATATTGAAGATTTGAATCCATCTTTCATGTGTGCCCAGGATTATGTGTTCTTGGACCACAATGTTTTCAAAATGAAGGTTCAGAACTCTAGTTCTCTGTATAGGCCTAGCTCAGAGCACCAGATAGTAAGCCCTTCATAAAAGCATTGTGATTGATTATAATCTGTAACCAATATCCTGCCAAGAACCAGAACAGGGACTGTCCTTCTCCTTCCCCCACTCCCACCCAGCTATTCATTAACTTTGAAGAATTATCTTGGCAATGAAAATTAAACAGTGACAGATTGCATTTGAGTTTTATTTGCTCCTAGGAATCTCAGGTTGCTTAGTTGGTAGGGTTGAAGTGGCCATTGCAAGGTAGTAAGCTACCACATAGCATTATCTTGCTGGTTTCTTCAGTTGACTGTGAAATAAGAGGGCTATATGCCAGGGCTCAATCATCAACATCTGGAAAGAAGATGGAGCAAATAAAGAAAACACCAACCAAAGGGAAGGACAGTTTAGACTGATAATATGAGAAGTCTACTACTATCCTACCAGCAGATTCAGCTGAAGTATTCTGAATCTGGGAGTACTGAAAACTATCTCAGTTTGCCTGGAACTGAGGGGTTTCCTGGCACTCCCAACTATCAGTGCTAAAATTGCCAAGCCCAGAGAAAAGTGGGATAGCTGATCAGCAGGAAGAACCTGAAGTAAAGAAAGAAGCAAGGAAGTCAAATTCTTCAGAGATGTGCTTTCAATTAGTAGGAATTGGTATGGAAATGATGATGATAAATATCTATAAATCTGAGTTGAGAAGGAATAGGGATCCAAAGGACTCTCTGAATTTATGTGAGAGGAGGAAGAGAGTTTGCCATCAAGATGACTAGTAGTGATCTCCACGGATAACTTTCATTTAGCACCTACTGTATGCAGAATTGAGTTCTAGCTCCTGTGGGCACTCTTAAAGAATACAAAGGCAGTCCTCATATTCAAGAAAATGCTGAACAATTTGTCCTCTCACCACTTCCTAACACCACACCACACTCTCAAACACTTTTTCCTCCTGACTTTCATATTTTGGGTAATGTAATCATCATTTCTCCCAGTCTCAAAATCATGGGTGTCATATTTCAGCCTTTGCCATTCCTCACCTCAAAATATTCATCCTGGGCTGGGGCTGTAGCTCAGTAGTAAAGCACTTGCCTCACATGTGTGAGGCACTGGGCTCGATCCTCAGCACCACATAAAAATAAATAGACACTGTGTGTTCATCTACAACTAAAAACAATATTTTTAAAAATTCATCCTATCATCAGTCCTAATAATTGCACCACTGCAGTGTACACCTATAACAGCCTCAGTCCTTTCTCTTACTGCTCCGGCACACAAAGCCTCTGCCTCACCCTCAGCCAGGATCCACTTCTATACATTCCTTATGGAGCCCTTTCATTACCCAACCTAGACATCCCTCAGCCACACTCCTCCTCTCTCTGACTGAAACCTGCCCAAACCCCATCAAGTCATTTCTTATGCAGGAAACCTTTACTGACTTCCCAGTTCCCAGTGATGACTTCTACTTCTAAATTCTGCAGAATTAAAAAAAAAAAAACTTCTTCATGTTCTCCCCCAGAGAAACTATGAGATCCTGGAAGGTAAAGGCTCTGCATTTATATGCCCCAAACACCTCAAACCTCACTTTCCTGCAGACATAGCATGCATCCAATATACTTATCGATTAATGAAATTTAAAAATGCACACAAGTATGGTTACCTTTGGGAAACAGATGAGGGTAGGAGATGCTTTTATTTTCCCGTTGTTCCTATCTATACTATTAGAATATTCTGATATTTATCTAGATATCACTTATTTTTTTATTTAAATGGTACCTTGGCAGTGTTCATGCCTTTTCTTTTGTCTTTCATTCATATAATGTTTAATGGGTAGCTATTAAGTGCCAGATGACATTCTAGGTTCTGGGGTAATAACAGTGAACATGACAAGCAAATCCCTGTCCTCATGGAGCTTTCATTCTTGCTGATGAAGAAGGAAAATAAACATATAAATATAAGTCCAATGTTGATAAGTGCTATGAAAGAAAAATGAATTAAGCTAATTGGACAGAGTGGTAGGATGTTACTATTTTATAAAGGGAAGGAGTTTAGTCAAGGGTAGCCTCCCTGATAAAAGTAACTTGTACGTAGAGACGTAGAGACGTGCAAGATTATGGAGAGCAAGCCATGGGGGGCATTAGAGAAGAGTGTTCCAAGCAGAGGGAGCAGTAAATCCAAACTTGCTGAGATTGGACTGTATTAAGAAACAGCAAAGAAGCCAGTGTGGCTGGAAGTGTGGGCAAGAGTGAGAATGATAGGAGGTTTATGGTTGTTTAACAAAGTCTTATTTAGTACCTATGATGGACCAGACAATGTTCTAAGTACTTTGCATATATTAAGTCATCTACTGTTCAAAACAACCCTACGAAGTAGATACAGTAGATACGATTGTTAACATTTAGCAGATGAGGAAATGGAGGCACAGTTAACTTAAGTTGCTTGTCCTATGTCACACCACTGGTAAATGGTAGAGGCAAGATTGGAATCCATGTATTATGGCTCCAAAGTCTGAATTCTTGACCACAATACCCAGAATAACTGAAAGTAAGGGGAGCAGATTGGGCAGGGCCATGCTGATAAATGTCCTTGGACTTAAAGTGGAAAGTTACCAAAGGACTTTGATCAGACTCACATTTAAGCAGGATCACCCTAGCTACTGTGCTGTCAACAGACTGGGGGTGGGGTGGGAGTGCAGGGGAATACCTAGAGTAAAAGCAGGAAGACCAGTTAAGAAGCTCTGCAATACTACAGTGACACAGCCATATCAATATTTATAGTAGCACAATTCAAAATAGCTGAACTATGGAACCAAACTAGATGCTCTTCAACAGATGAATGGATAAAGAAACTATGGAATATATACACAATGGAATATTACTCAGCCTTAAAGAAGAATTTATGGCATTTTTCAGTAAATCAATGGAACTGGAGAATATTATGCTAAGCAAAATAAGCCAATCCCAAAGAACCAAAGGCCAAATGTTTCTCTGATATGAGGATGCTAATTCACAATAAGGGCAGTGAGTAGAATAGAGGTAATTTGGACTAGATAGTGGGGAATGAAGGGAGGGGAGGGGACATGGAGGTAGGAAGGATAATAGAATGAATCTGACATTAATACCCTATGTGTATATATGATTACATGACCTGTGTAACTCTACATCATGTATAACCAGACGAATGAGAAGTTATACTCCATTCACATATGATGGGTCAAAATGCATTCTACAGTCATGTATAACTAATTAGAACAAGTAAAAAATATATTTTAAGAAAGAAGCTCTGCAATAATTT